GCTGCTAGTGAGGACACACTCCTTCAAGACAATAAGCATAGTGTGGCCCTGCACAATCGACTTAATTAATTCGGAGGCTCAAGGTCGAATTAGATAAAGTCGACTTAATTTTGTAGTGTACACAAGCCCTTAGTCTAATTTTTTTAGAACTTTTTTTAGAACTCAGTCAGCAGGTAGCAAATTTCCAAATATCTTTGTGATTTCTGTCTTTTTTCCCCTGAGTTTGGATACAGTGTCAATTTTACTATGTTACTGGTATTGTGGTAGGGCCTCGGGGCCCCAGTAATGGACTAGGCCCCACTGTGCTGTCCAATTATAACCAGTTCGCGTATATTTGAATCTTAATGAACATTTGCTTGACTAAGTTGAGAACTTGGCCAGACTTTCTATGGGTATAGTTAGGGCCCTACCAAATCCGCGGCCATGAAAAACGCATCGTGGACCCTGAAATCTCCCCCCGTGAAATCTGGTCTTTTGTGTGTTTTTACCCTATACTATACCAATTTCATGGAGGAGACCAGAGTCTTGACCCACAAGGGAGTTGCAGGGGTCACAAGGTTATTTGGGGGGGGGAGGGTTGTGTATTGCCACCCTCACTTCTGCGCTGCCTTCAGAACTGGGCAGTTGGAGAGCGGCAGCTGTTGGCCAGGCTCCCAGCTCTGTAGGCAGCACCCTGCCAGCAGTAGCGCAGAAGTAAGGGTGGCAATACCATACCATGCCGCCCCTACTTCTATGCTGCTGCCTTCAGAGCTGGGTGGCCGGAGAGTGGTGGCTACTGACTGAGGACCCAGCTCTGCAGGCAGCAGTGCATAAGTAAGGATGGCAATACCATATCATGCCATCTTTACTTCTGCGCTGCTGGTGGTGGTGGCTCTGCCTTCAGAGCTGGGTTCCTGGCCAGCAGCCGCCGCTCTCCAGATGCCCAGCTCTGAAGGCAGCACCGCCGCCTGCAGCAGTGCAGAAGTAAGGGTAGCAGTACCACAACTCCCCCACAATAACCTTGCGATCCCCTCACAATTCCTTTTTGGGTCAGGACCCCTACAATTACAACACTGTGAAATTTCAGATTTAAATAGCTGAAATCATGAAAATTACTATTTTTAAAATCCTATGACCATGAAATTGACCAAAATAGACATGAATTTGTTAGGGCCTTAGGTATAGTGTTTCAAGAACACACTTTTGAATTAACATGGTTTCTTAACAGAAGTGTAGATAGAAGAGCGCTGTCTGGAAATATAAGCTAAAATTAAATTCTATTATATGCCATTCATTGGCTATAAATAATCCCTAAAAATGTAATAATCAGTTATAAATAAACATAAGTGAAATTACAAAAGTTCAATTACATTTTAGTTCATTGAGCACCGAAAGGGACTAAATCAAATTTACCAGCTATTGGCTTGATCCTCAATGACATCAATTGTTATAGTCTATTTTGTTACTTAATCGTTTCTCATGCATATTTCTCATGCACAGGTCATCACAATAGGGGTGGAATGCCTCATGGCTCTTCCATGAAATATGCCATCTTGGTTCTCCTGTGAAATGACCAAATTACAGAAATGTTCAGGTGGCAGATAAGAGATAAGCAATCACTGTGTAAAATAATACTTGAAGGTAAGATACACCAGCAATAGCCATGGACTCCTCATCCTGATCTGACATTCCCAAAAGAACTTCAACCAAAAGAGTGAGCTTTCATAAGACATGAAATGTGATGACCATGCCAGTAAATCAGTATTCCTGGTACTGTAAGGTTATTGGAGAAGACAAAGCCTCCTAATATGGCAGCTTCCCTGCGGATAAACAAATGTATGAGTACTAAAAGAATTATCCTTCCAGCAACCTAGTAAATTCTGCCATCTCTGCAGGTAGCTAAATCTCATGGGAGCACCTATGATATAATCTGTGTAAAGTATGTATAGCCAGATTTATTTAATCCCATTAGATGCAACGATTCCAGGGGTGACCCAATAATAATTATTCTAAACCATTCAGAACTTCTCAAATATGTAAATGAATTGGCAAAGACAAGACACCAACCATCTTTTCTACTGCTGTCCCCACCGGGACGATGGATATTTGGGGATAGAGAGGGTTATCATTCAGCTATATAGCTGATTAGAGCACACATTCAGTTCTTTGATATACATACGTAGCATTTGGTAATTTTTCAATAGAGAATATGTGCATTGTATGTTGTCATATGGTGCTACCTTTTGATTAGTTCCACCCTTTTTTCCCAGCACACCTCCATACCCTTTCTCCCCAGGCCTTTTCTCAAAAGTACAGTTCCTGCCCTTGTATAACTACCAAGCTCTTTGAGATGAACTCTCTATTGGAAGCAGCAGAATATGACTTGGATGTGAAGTAGAAAACAAAGCCAAGAAAAGTGCTCCCACTGTGCAAAGCCCTTAGAAACAATGAGTTGCTATCACATAAGAGATTGCAAAATAGTCTGACAACCTATAGAGAGATAATAGGTATCATTAATGCCTGGCACACCCAACTTTTCATTTCACAGGCCAGGTGAATAAGATTCTTCTTTGCAACTGTAAGCAAAGCCACACCTCTACTATTCCATTTGAGTGTAGGAGGGGGCTTCCTTTTAGAAATATTACACCATATTTGGAAGCTGACACCCTCCTAATGATATGATTAGTCACTTAGAAATCCCAGTGTTGTTGTTACTAGTTTCTAAGCTCCATTTTTAGGAATCTGGTCTTAGATTGTCCCAGAGACAAGAACTGCTTCAATCTTCAATTCAGTTTGTTTTCTCTCATATTCTGTTTATTTTTACTTTCTTTTAATTTTATCAATTTTTAGAAATAGTCTTATTATGGAATAACATTTCAAACATGTTTTTCTACCTCCTGAACTTCACTTATTCTTAAAAATTTTCTTTCTAGACTTTCTGAACTCATTTCACTGAGGTTTTATCACCAGCTACTTTCTTGTCTTTTAATCTCACTAATAAAAAATCCAGGTTAGGCCATTTTAGAGTTTGTATGTTGTGCTTTCCCTCCTGACTCAACTGTGGGGAATTAATTTTCTAAAATCCATTTGCTTTCTGTATGTTTGGCAGACAACTGCTTCAAAGAGTCCCCTTTGTGTGTGCGTGGCTTTGGGGTGTTTTTGGATTAGGGTTCAAAGTAAAAAAAACTGTAAATGGTTTAGGAAGTAACTCAGAGCCCCATAGTAGAGTCAAGTGTGTGTCTCAAGCTTGCTGCTTTGCTCAGTGGCTTGGGAATGCTGCAGACAGGGCCGGCTCCAGGCACTAGCTGAGCAAGCTGGTGCTTGGGGCGGCAGATTGTTGGAGGCGGCATTCTGCCCAATCCTAGGGCGGCACGGCCGCTTTTTTGTTGTTGTTGTTCTTGTTCCGCTCCAGCTACCCTGTAGGGGGCGGCGGCGCAGAGAACCAGAGCGCCCTGCAGGGCAGTCCTCTTCCTTCCCTCCCCGCCAACCGGAGCGGAGCCCTCGCGGCAGGAGGCAGCGCAGCAGGATAGGCTGTGTATTCCTGGCCGCCCCCTTCTCTCTCTCTCCCACCCGCTCCCCCCCCCCAGCCGGTCCCCCTGCACTCGCGCTCCGGCCGCGCCGCAGGGTTTTTTTGTTTGTTTGTTTGTTATTTTGGTTTTTTTTGCTTGGGGCGGCCAAAAAGCCAGAGCAGGCCCTGGCTGCAGAACAGCGCTCCTCTGACCTCTGAGCAAACTTGAGGGTAGCTGGAAGAAGCCCAGGGCTCCATGGCTAGAAGAATAGTTGATTCAGTGTGGGGTTATTAAGAGCAAAATGGGGGAAAGAGTGAATATCCTTGGGGTGCTGTGAGATCTACTCCTAAAAATAATTATAGGTTAAGCCTGATGAAACAGTTCAAAACAGGATGTGCTGAAGCACACAGCCTTCCCTCTGCAGCTCTCCCACACGTACCTGGTGTTTGGCAAAGCTCTATCTACACCTGCATCGGGATAAACAGCTGCAAGTCCTTGGTATGAGAACACCACAAATGCTACACATTCCTTTTTAGAGTCCGGTGGCGGTTGTCGTTGTTCTAAATATTGGCTATCGAGAGTTATCGTGTGAGTGTGGTGTTTCTCTCTCTCATATCTCCATTCTCCTCTCCCCTGTAGGCCTACCAGTTGTGTACCCACAACCCTGGTAATTACACTCATGCAGCTGATAGGATAGTCAAATAACAGGAATTTATTGCCCTATGTTGCTTTTCTTTTAATAATTACTTTGTCTCTACTAGTATTTGGGCACCAAATAAGTAACAATCTCTTTGTAGGATTATTGTTAATTCACTGATATTGATTGCTTTCTTTAGGAGGATGAGGATTAATCCTCCTCCCATGTCACAATATTAAATTTACTCAGAGTTGCACCCAGTTCCAAATTTGTCACTACAGTGAAAAATACAACTCAGCAACTTTCCATATTGCACAGAGCATCTGGATTCCCTGCTGTTGGTCCCATGTTCTCCAACATTCCTGCTGTATATAGGATGGGTGAAAACTGAAAAGGTTCTAATTAAAATGAGAACCAACCCAGAAGTTAGCCCATTCTTTGAACTGAGTGTGAACTTTGCCCCCGCACTTCCTGTTTTAGTGGTTACAGGGGAAGAAATAATTATTTACTATTGTTAGCATTTCTAAAGCACTCATGGCCATAGTGTCTAGCACTATTATGTAACTTTAGGAAAGAGACAAGTTCTTTCACTTTCCCCTTGAATTAAAGCTGTTTACTTTGGAGAAGTTAAGTCCAGGTTGTTATTTCCAGGAGTAGCATGGCCAGTCTGCAGCAATTTAATGGTTCATATTCAGAGCCGGCTCTAGGTTTTTTGCTGCCCCAAGCAAAAAAAATTTTGGCTGCGCCCTGAGCTCCCACCAGTGCCCCCCCCCACCCGCACCCCCTGCCGCCCCAGCACTGGGCTCCCCCCCAAATGTGGGATCCGCTACCAGCACACGTCGGCCGAGACCTGGCCCAGCCACGACTCTATCCCCATGCGGGTGCAGCTGCTGGGCGGCACGGCGTGGGAGTACTTCCAGGTGACGGTGCAGCTGCGGGGCGGCGCGGAGAACACGGCCCCCTCCCTGGGCTTCACAGCGCTGCTGGTGGCCGAGGTGGATCAGTTCGTTCTCACCGCCCTCACCCCCGACATGCTGGCGGCCGAGGACCTGGAGAGCCCCTGGACCTGCTGCTCTTCAGCCTCACCGCACCCTGGCCCAGCCCCGGCGGGCGGGAAGGCGAGGATCTCCGGCTGCGGGGCTACCTGCTCAGCACCGACGAGCCCAGCCAGCCGCTTACCTCCTCACACACTCCGGGAGCCCCTCTCACCACCGCAGCCCAGGCTTGGCTCCAGGGAACCCCACTTCCCTCCCTCCCCGGCTCTTCACACACTCTGGGAGCCCCTCTCGCCGCCGCCGCAGCCCGGGATCAGCTCCAGGGGACTCCGCTTCCCTCCCTCCCCGGCTCCTCTCACACTCTGGGAGCCCGGGCTGCGGCAGCAGTGAGAGGGGTTCCCGGAGTGTGTGAGGAGCCAGGGAGGGAGGGAAGCGGGGCCAGGGAGGGAGGAGGGGTCCTGCTGCCGCTCCAAGTCTCCCCAGGGCAGCGTGGCATTTCCCCGAATGGGCTGTGCAGGGCGCCGCCGGGCTGGGCAGGGGGCGCGGATCCCGGCTTGCGCTGACAGGGCGAGTGGCTGGGCCAGGGCTGGCTCCTGGCAATGCCGCCCCAAGCAAAAAAATAAAAAATAAAAAAAGGGGGGCCGGAGTGCCACCCCTTAGAAAGTGCCGCCCCAAGCACATGGTTGGAGGGCTGGTGCCTAGAGCCGGCCCTGTTCATATTCTAGGAGCAAGCCTGATGAATAAAGCCAGGGTGGCAAGAACTCTTGGTCAGCCTCAACTCTGTTGACACTTTGTTCCACAGCTGAGAACAGTTTCCTTTTCTAACCACCAAAACAGCAGAGCTAGTTGCAGTGTTGCCAAACACAACATTCAAAAGTCATGAGATTTAAAAAAAATCTCTTTTTCTTTGCCTTCTGGTTTCTGAGTCTTTAGGGTGCGCTCAGGTCAAATTTTCCGACTTGTCTTTGCAAGCATGAGGGCTAGAAACATACTGTTTTTAAAAATGAAAGCTGAGACTCTCATATAACTGCTTGACTCTAGGATCTGGGGCTTAAAGAAAAGCACACGAAATGGTGAGATACCTGATTAAATCTTGAGAGCTGGCAATGGAGGTTTCCATTAAACAAGAGGACAGAGAAACTTGTGATGTGCGCCAGCCAGGGCCATGATAAAATGGGAAACATGCAGATTCCCTACAGATTCAAGTCATCACCACATAGGTCTATGTCACACCTAGTTCCTCATGCTGCATGCCAGCAACAATCCCCTGCAGTTGCAGGTTTAACTGCACTGCTAGTCTGGGCTTGTCAAACAACGTACCATTAAAGAAGCTGCTCTCGCTGTCTTTCAAGCAGGCCCATTACAGGACCAGAGAGAACTCTCTCTATATATTTTGCAGGATGGAAGGACATGGGCTTTTGTGTATGTGTGTTGAGGGAGTGGGGTTGTGCTCATTTAGTGCAGCATTCTGACCATTCAGGTGGAGTAGAGTATCCAGGAATACCATATTTGATAGGGAACTTGAGGCCCCGACAACATAAAACCGCTACCTCCCCCTAGATCCTCTAAGTGATCTTTAGACTCTGAGGGTATGTCTACACTACGAAATTAGGTCGAATTTATAGAAGCCGGTTTTATAGAAATCGGTTGTATACAGCCGATTGTGTGTGTCCCCACATAAAATGCTCTAAGTGCTCTAGTCGGTGGACCGCGTCCACAGTACCGAGGCTAGCGTCGACTTCTGGAGCATTGCACTATGGGTAGCTATCCCACAGTTCCCGCAGTCTCCGCCGCCCATTGGAATTCTGGGTTGAGATCCCAATGCCTGAATGATGCAAAACAGTGTCGCGGGGGTTTCTGGGTACATGTCGTCAGGCCCCTCCCCCTCCATCAGAGCAACAGCAGACAATAGATTCGCGCCTTTTTACCTGGATTACCTGTGCAGACAACATACCACAGCAAGCATGGAGCCCGCTCAGCTCAGCTCACCGTCACCATATGTCATCTGGGTGCCGGCAGACGTGGTACTGCATTGCTACACAGCAGCAGCTAATTGCCTTTTGGCGGTAGACGGTGCAGCATGACTGGTAGCCTTCATCGGCGATCTGGGTGCTGGCAGCCGTGGGGCTGGCAGCCGTAGGGCTGCATTGCACCAGCCCCTTGCCTTTTGCCTTTTGGCAGTAGATGGTGTATTACGACTGGTAACCGTCGTCGTCGTACAGCAGTGGCTGGAACTCCGTATGTCCCCCAGTCCCCCATCCCCCCAGTCATATTCTGCTGCCTTCACAATGACGATGATGGCTATCAGTCGTAGTATGCCATTTTCTGCCAAGCGCCCAGTGTTTTCTGCTAAGCACCCAGAAGAGGCCGAGGGCGATCTGGGTGCTGGCAGACGTGGGGCTGGCAGACGTGGGGCTGCATTGCTACACAGCAGCAGCCCCTTGCCTTTTGGTAGAAGATGGTATATTACGACTGGTATCCATCGTCATCGTACTTCAGTGGCTGTCAATCATGGGCACCTGGGCAGACAGTCTTGATGATGATGATGGCTATCAATCGTAGTATGCTATTTTCTGCCAAGCGCCCAGTATTTTCTGCCAAGCACCAAGAAGATGCCGAGGGCTATCAGTCATGCTGCACCGTCGTCTGACAGCTTAAGAGGTAAGAGATAAAAAATAGATTTGTTCTGTATTCATTTGCTTCCCCCTCCCTCCGTGAAATCAACGGCCTGCTAAACCCAGGGTTTTGAGTTCAATCTTTGGGGGGGGCCATTCTGTGTGACAGTTGTTTGTTTTCTCCCTGATGCACAGCCACCTTTGTTGATTTTAATTCCCTGTACCTGTACGCCATGTCGTCACTCGCCCCTCCCTCCCTCCCCTGGTCCATCAGATACTAGTTTCGCGCCTTTTTTCAGACCAGACGCCATAGCTAGCACTGGGATCATGGAGCCCGCTCAGATCACCGCGGCAATTATGAGCACTATGAACACCACGCGCATTGTCCTGGAGTATATGCAGAGCCAGGACATGCCAAAGCAAAACCAGAACCAGCTGAGGAGGCGATTGCAGCGCGGCGACGAGAGTGATGAGGAAATTGACATGGACCTCTCACAAGGCACAGGCCCCAGCAATGTGGAAATCATGGTGTTACTGGGGCAGGTTCATGCCATGGAACGCCGATTCTGGGCCCAGGAAACAAGCACAGACTGGTGGGACCGCATTGTGTTGCAGGTGTGGGACGATTCCCAGTGGCTGTGAAACTTTCGCATGCGTAAGGGCACTTTCATGGAACTTTGTGACTTGCTTTCCCCTGCCCTGAAGTGCCAGAATACCAGGATGAGAGCAGCCCTCACAGTTGAGAAGCGAGTGGCGATAGCCCTGTGGAAGCTTGCAACGCCAGACAGCTACCGGTCAGTCGGGAATCAATTTGGAGTGGGCAAATCTACTGTGGGGGCTGCTGTGATCCAAGTTGCCAGGGCAATGAAAGACCTGGTGATATCAAGGGTAGTGACTCTGGGAAACGTGCAGGCCATAGTGGATGGCTTTGCTGCAATGGGATTCCCAAACTGTGGTGGGGCCATAGACGGAACCCATATCCCTATCTTGTCACCGGAGCACCAAGCCACCGAGTACATAAACCGCAAGGGGTACTTTTCAATGCTGCTGCAAGCCCTGGTGGATCACAAGGGACGTTTCACCAACATCAACGTGGGATGGCCGGGAAAGGTACATGATGCTCGCGTCTTCAGGCACTCTGCTCTGTTTCGAAAGCTGGAGGAAGGGACTTTCTTCCCGGACCAGAAAATAACCGTTGGGGATGTTGAAATGCCTATCGTGATCCTTGGGGACCCAGCCTACCCCTTAATGCCATGGCTCATGAAGCCGTACACAGGCAGCCTGGACAGTAGTCAGGACCTGTTCAACTACAGGCTGAGCAAGTGCCGAATAGTGGTGGAATGTGCATTTGGACGTTTAAAAGCGCGCTGGCGCAGCTTACTGACTCGCTCAGACCTCAGCAAAAAGAATATCCCCATTGTTATTGCTGCTTGCTGTGCGCTCCACAATATCTGTGAGAGTAAGGGGGAGACATTTATAAGGGGGTGGGAGGTTGAGGCAAATCGCCTGGCCGCTGATTACGCGCAGCCAGACACCAGGGTGGTTAGAAGAGCACAGCAGGGCGCGGTGCGCATCAGAGAAGCTTTGAAAACCAGTTTTGTGACTGGCCAGGCTACGGTGTGAAATTTCTGTTTGTTTCTCCTTGATGAACCCTCCGCCCCCCCCACACCCGGTTCACTCTACTTCCCCGTAAACCAACCACCCCACCCTCCCCTCCCTCCTTCGAGCACCGCTTGCAGAGGCAATAAAGTCATTGTTACTTCACATTCATGCATTCTTTATTAATTCATCACACAACTAGGGGGATAATTGCCAAGGTAGCCCGGGATGGGTGGGGGAGGAGGGAAGGAAAAGGACACACTGCAGTTTAAAACTTTAACTCTTATTGAAGGCCAGCCTTCTGATGCTCGGGCAATCATCAGGGGTGGAGTGACTGGGTGGCCGGAGGCCCCCGCACCGTGTTCTTGAGCGTCTGGGTGAGGAGGCTATGGAACTTGGGGAGGAGAGCTGTTGGTTACACAGGGGCTGTAGCGGCGGTCTCTACTCCTGCTGCCTTTCCTGCAGCTCAACCATACGCTGGAGCATATCAGTTTGATGCTCCAGCAGCCAGAGCATCGACTCTTGCCTTCTGTCTGCAAGCTGATGCCACCTATCATCTTCAGCCCGCCACTTGCTCTGTTCATCCCGCGATTCAGCCCGCCACCTCTCCTCTCGTTCATACTGTGCTTTTCTGTAGTCTGACATTGACTGCCTCCACGCATTCTGCTGTCCTCTGTCAGCGTGGGAGGACATCTGGAGCGCATCCTCCGTTTTCTCCTTCTAATCTTCACTAGCCTCTGTGAAGGAGAAACATTTGCAGCTGGTGGAGGAGAAGGGAGAGGTGGTTAAAAAAGACACATTTTAGAGAACAATGGGTACACTCTTTCACGTTAAATTTTGCTGTTCACATTACACAGCACGTGCTTTCGTTACAAGGTCACATTTTTCCTCGTATATTGAGGGCCTGCC